AAATTCCTAATCAGTCACTCTAGTGGCCTTGACAAAACAAGATTTATTAAGACTAGAAAGAGATCAGATTCAAGGAGGGCTTCTCAAAGTCATCTCAGTGATGGAGCAACACGTGCTGCTTTTAGAAATCCCACCCTAGAACAATAAAGCTGGTTTGCATGGCATATGTAGTGCTGTGTTCTACAAGAGGGATGTGGTATAAGAACACTAGACGAGGACTTGGGAGACCTGGGTGGAGTTTTGGCTCTGCTGCAGACTACCTGTGTGTCCTGGGGTAAGTCAGTGTGTCCTGTGTGAAATGGGATACAATTTCCTTGCCTCACAGCTAGTAACAGATATGTTCTACCAAATACACCTCTACCCCGATATAACACGAATTCGGATATAACCCGGTAAAGCAGTGCTCTGGGGGGGCGGGCTCCGGCAGATCGAAGCAAGTTCGATATAACGTGGTAAGATTTTTTTTTGGCTCCCGAGGACAGCGTTATATCGGGGTAGAGGTGTAGTAGATGAAATGGCATATTTACGACACCTTTCAGTACAAGCTTCTATCTATTTTAGGTCCCCTGTCACTGTAGTATCTGAGCACCTCATAATCTTTAATCTTCACCGCTGTGAGGTAGGGAAGTACCACTTCACAGATGGGGAAACCAAGGCACTGCGAGACTAAGTGACTTGCCCAAGGCCACACACAAGTCTGTGGCATAGCGGGGAACTGAACCTGAGCTTCCCAAGTCCTAGCTAGTGCCCTAATCCCTAGGACCATCCTGCCCCTTTAATAGTTGAAATTAGTGACAGTAAAAATTCGCTTCTGCTGCGACTACACGGAGGAGTTAGACGTTGTGCCTCCTGCTAGGAATCCCCAGTGCAAAGTGCAATGAACCTTACCACCGATTGCCCAATGTTCCCGGTCCCTGGCGGGGCGCACCGGGCTAAAGTCAGAGCTGTCATCAGTGGAGCTGTACTTTATTACCCCAGGACTCAACTTGTCCCGGAGCTGCGACCACAGATGACTAACCACTGTCAGGGCCGTGATTACAGACTGGGCATCCGTTGCTGCGGACTAGGGAAGAGGTTACACTCTAGGACAGTGGTTTTCAAAGTGTGGTCACGACCCATACTGGGTAGCAGAATGTCAAGCACTGGGTCACGGCAGCTCTAGTCAGCACCGTCGACCGGGCCATTAAAAGTCCCGTCAGCAGTGCTGCCCGGCTAAGGCAGGCTAGTCCCTAACTGTTCTGACACTGCGCTGCACCCCGGAAGCGGCCAGCAGCAGGTCCGGCTCCTAGGCGGGTGGGCCATGGGGCTCCGCACACTGCTCCCGCCCCAAGCACTGGCTCCACGCTCTCATTAGCCGGGAACCGGTCAATGGGAACTGGCGGGGCGGCGGTGCCTGCGGGGTGAGAGCCGCACGGAGCTGCTTGTGCGCCTCCGCCTAAGAGCCGGACCTGCTGCTGGCCGCTTCCGGGGCGCAGTGCGGTCAACAGTGCCAGGACAGGTAGGAAGACTGCCTCAGCACCCCTGCTGCCCCGCTGACCGGGAGCTGCCCAAGGTAAGCCCGCATCCCAATCACCTGCCCAGTCCTGACGTCCCCCCCCCAAACAAGAGACCCTTCCTGCACCCCATACTCCTGATCCCTGGCCCCATTCCAGAGCCTTCACCCGCAGCCCAGAGCCCTGACCCCTTCCCGCACCCCTGCCCCAGCTCTGAGTCCCCACAAACCCAGAGCCCCCTCCTGCACCCCAAACCTCTGCCCCAGCCCTGATCCCCTCCCACATCCCAAACGCCTCATCCCCAGCTCCGTTGGGTCGCAGACATCAACAATTTTCTTTAACTGGGTTGCCAGAAAAAAAAGTTTGAAAACCACTGCTCTAGGAAGACACTCGGCCTGGGGGAGGGGGCATGAAAGGGAATTGCAGGATGGGGCCACACTAGGCGTCAGTGAAGGTCTTTTGCATAATACCCTCTCGTGCAGCGGGAAGTCAGGAAAGCTGCGGGTGTCCTGGCCCAGAAACAGCCGCCTCTGGTACTGTCAGTGTTTCCTAGACGTCCGGCTGCTGATGTATCTGCTTTGAATGACTGCAGTTCTTGCCAAGTACTGTGTTCGTTTGTACTGGCTCCTGCCAAGGCTTTTACAGCTGCTCCGAACTTCTGAGTGTCGTGCCCCGTGATTTATAGGTGGCCAAGTCCCACTAACACATCCCCAGCAGAGTACATGGGAGTTCTCCAGGAGTTAGTCATGGAGCGGGGGGTTTCCTGCCCCATTGGTTGTTCATACTCCCATTCGGAGGCGCGCTGCCGGAGGAAGCGGCTCAGAGAAGTGGGATCTGCAGAAATCAGGGTGGTTATATTGCTTGGCATGGGTTGCATCCAGGAATGAAGTGCTGCAAACTTTCCTGTGTGGTTACAGCAATTTACCTCTGCCCTACCCCCCCCCAGCGTTCCAAGACCAGGGACTCTCCAGCACAAACTGCATTGTGGTCTCTTGATTGGGGCAAGTAGGGGCACCTGACTGAGACCAGCCAACTCGTTTCACTGGTGTCTCAAGACGCGCTGGACTCCAAGCCCTCTGCTTGGTTGAGGCCCTTCTGATTTACCAAGAGCCTGTGTGTGCGCCTCTCCCCGTTCTGGCCTGGTACCCAGACTCAGAACCACGCTTCCCATCCAGTGATTCACACCTCCTCCCATGGCCTCTCAACAAGAAACCCTCCCGCTCTTTCTCCTGTGCAAAGTCGCTGCTGCCCTGGCGAGCACTGAAATTTCTATCCCTGCTCCTGGGGCTTGTCCACACAGTGCCGCAGGGGTGTGATTGGTAGAGCGCTCAAACTGCCCTGTATAGGCTCCGCTGGTGTGAACTAAATGGTACCTGGTTTGCGTTAGGACTGCTTTAGAACTCTACAAATCCCCCACCTGTAGTCTGCTGTAGACAAGCCTTTAGTCTATCCTGGAGTCAGATTCCTCCCAGTCGCTGCGGGGAAAGGGACGGGGTGTGTGGCAAGCTACCATCTGTGTCTCAGAGCTTTCTCGACCCCTGCTTTATTTAACCCCCTGAATATCTTCCGTCCTGGAGAAGGCTCAGTGAAGCAGGGTTGAGTTAAGACACACACATCACTTGGTGGAAAAACTCCTTAAACTCTCTTTACTGTCTCGGTTCCCACATTAAATCAACTGCATCTACTCTTCTCTCCTGGTGCTGACCCACAATTAGGTGTGGGGAGCGGGAACGGGGGAGCGTGGTGCAGGGACTTGAGGAAAAACTTCATCTTGGCCCAGAAGGGTTGAGTGAAATGTACCAGAGTGGCTGTGTGAAGAAGGGTTGAGGAGGCGGAGAAGTGGTGCACTCTGCTCTCTTCCCTCACCCTCGGAATAGAAGGGACAGTCTCGTTCTTGGGAAAGCGACCTGCTCCTGAGAGACCTCTTGATCTGGCCAATTTGTGAAAAGTGGGCAAAGGTCTAATCTAATATCTTAACAGATTCCGTTCCTTCCTCTTCCCTGCTACAAGCAGTGGGGTAAAGAACATGCCGTTTAAGGAGCAACTTGCGAGAGAACAGTGTACTCAAAGCTGGTCTGCTTGCACCACAAAGTGCAGATTAAAAGGCAGCAAATTTAAATTGGGTGGAGAGTTGTTTTTAGCAGTGTAGAACTAACCTGAGGGACTCCCTGCTGCAGGGGACGGAGAAAAGTAATTCAAAAGGTAGTGGCTAGAACACTGGGCTAGGGCTGAGACTTTGGTTCTGCCACTGACCTGCTGGTTGACCTTGGCCAAGTCATTGTGCCTCGGTTTCCCCAATGGTAAATGAGGATAATGATACTGACCTACTTCCTAAAGCATTTTGAGAGCTACTGATAAAAGCTGTTGAAGAGCTTGGGATTCTAGATCTGCAACTGACGCTCCGTTACAAGACTAATGGTGAGCTCGGCTTTAATTCTCTAGTTGAAGGTGCTATTCTGAATTGTTCCTCAATGTCAAACGTGTAGCATCTCTCAGCAGCCTTTCAGGAGAAGGGTAAGCATTGACGTGGCAAGGGCTACCACTGACTTTCCAAACCTAAAACGAGAATGGCACCTACACAAGGCAGGGCAGCATTTCGAAGACAATCAGTGCCACGCTGCAGGGCATAACCCACGATCACCAGCTGGGGGAAGGTAGGGGCTCCTTCCTCCCCCCAGGCTATGTCGGTCAGCACAGTACTGGGCCAGATGGTGTTACAGGGACACCTTCCCCTGAACCACTGGCCACTATTGGAAGCTGGATGCTGGGCTCTTCACGAACTCCTGGTCTATAGGGTGGCTTTTAGTTCAGCAGCTTCCCCTCGGTCACAGTCGGGTCCCAGCTGGGCGAACGTCCTCTTGGTCCGGATGGGAGGCTGCTGGGAAATGTTGAGTTGGCTCGTCCCTTCTGGCTTCCGGGGTCTGGAAGCTCAGCTGGCTAGCCAGGCTTCAGCCGCTGTCTGAAATGGAGGTGCGGGGCAGGGTGCGGGAGGGAGATGCCTAGGTCACCCAGCAGGTCCGTGGCATGCTGGGAAGGGAAGCCAGGATCTGAGGTCTAGTCTAGGCTTCAGCTCGAGGTGGCTCCTTGCCAGCCATTTGTTCCTCCTTTGGCATGGCGAGGCAAGGAGGAGCAATGGAACACAATGGGGAAGCTTATTCCAGCCGAACAGTGCCCCCTACGGGTGTGTGTGAGAACCAGTCTCGAATGGAAGCTGAATCCCAGTTTGGGACTGCTTGGCGTGCGGGGAGTGAGACCCTGGGCTCACTTCCCACTGTTTATAGAGGCTGCGTCAGGCCAGGAAAACAAACCCCACTTCGCCGGTCTCTAAGCATTTACCCAGTGAGTTTCCCAGGCCCCTTCTGCGTGGGAGTACCAACCCCATATGGAGGGGCAAATACGCTTCCCAAGCGGATGCCACGAGTCAGCGGTGAAGCTGGGGATAGTTCTCAAAGGTCCTGCCTCCTGTTCCTCTACTCAAATCCCCAGCCCAGCCTCCCAGAGAATTAAACTGGCTCCCAGCTGAGGCCCCTGGGCTCACCGCTGGTCTGTCCTTTCCATTGCCAGGAGGCCCATAAGCAGTACAAGCAGAAGCTCGAAGAACTAACCAAGCTGCAGGATGGGATCTCCAGTTCCATTGCACGGCAGAAGAAGCAGCTGAAGGAGCTGTCTCTCGCCTTCAAAAAGTAAGGAGCTACGTGGGGCAACATAAGGAGATCCTTGCGGAGCCCTGGTTGGAGGGCGCGTGGGAGCCTAGTGAGCCGCGTTCCTACGCCGTGGGGTGCTGACTGGGGGAGGAATGGTTTGGGGTAGGTGAACCATGGGGGCTGGGTAGGATGAAGGAGCTATCGCTTCTCTCATACCCTCTGGTCCTTCTTGTCAGACCGAATCATGTTCCTTTCCCCAGCTGCAAGTCCGCGATAACCGCCGAACAGGAAGAGTCCATCCGGGAGATCCAGAGCCTCATCAAAGAGAGGCAGAGCATCTTCTTTGAAATGGAGGCGTATTTGCCAAAGAAGAATGGGTAAGACGCCATCCCGTGGTCTTGGAGTCTTAGCCAGCAGTAAAAGGACTGAAGCTGTTGACTTCTATGCAGCTGTTACCAGAGAGTGCTTGAGTTACCAGCCAAAAACTGCCCAGACTCTATCAGGATGTCAGTGAAAGACCTGATACACAGCTGGTGCTAGTTAATTTCTCATCGCTCCTTTTCCATCTGCACCCTCCCGATTCAGATTCCAAGCCCCCAGTTTCCACTGGGCTTGGGAAAACCTCGGCGTGACCAGCCAGAGACAGAGTAGGCTAGGGGCCTTGGCGTGGAGAGTTGCCAATTCAGAGCAGAGTATAACCCCTGGGCCTGGCTGCTTGGAGCAGCAGTGTCTTTGGACACCGCTGGCATGAAGCGCGCTCTCCAGCGTGCACTGGTGTTGCCCCGTGGCCAGCAGCCTGACCTCCCGCTGGCTGGGCGAGAGGCCCATTAGTGCGGAGTTTGAACAGATGTTTATTCTAGGGGAACAGTCTCTCCTGAATGCAGTAAAGTGGGGGGGGAATGGTAGCAAGTGCAGCTTAGTGTCAGAGGAAGGTGAAAGCCGGGTGGAGTTAAGGTCCCTCGCAGGATGTTTCGGGTGTGTTACTAGGCAGCGGAGCACAGGTCTGCCTATGTTCCTGGTTCCCTGCACAGCATCAGTAACATGCTGTTAAGCAGGGAGCCTTCCATTCAGCAGTTACTCTGCAGGCTGGCAGAGCGGGAGGAACCATCCCAGTCCCGGGGCGGGAACTGCCCCATATTTTGCCCGATGTGACGTGCAGGGTTCCTGTCTCCATACCCCGGCTGCCATTAGTGACTTTCCTACATCCTCCTGCCAGTGACTCGGTTGTGACAGCGGTGGCCCCTCTTTGGTGCAGAGTTCGCGTCTCTGGCAATCGGGGACCCTCGTGAGCATGGGTGGGGGAGTCCTAGGGGGCTGCACTTGGCCATACTTCTCCCAACTGCTGCGGGTGCCCGAGGCAGCCTTGGGCAGAGGCCGCCTTCCGCTGTGCTAGTGACAGAGCTGCGTCTGCGTCATTGACAAGTGGAAAATGGATGGGCGCCTGTCCCAGCCGGTGTTCCCACAAAGGGACCGACCGAGGAACAAATAAGCCTACGCACGTCGGCACCGTAGAGCACGAGCGTAGTAAAGCTTGGTGTTGAAGCCCATGCAGTGGGTGTGGGATAGCTACGCCTTAGCCACGCAGCAGGAGCCCTTCCAATCTCAACTACTCCCACCGGCACAGCGGTGCTGTATGCCTCCTTCGTATGTTCTCACGTCTCCTTCCATTCTCACCTAGGTTGTACCTGAGTCTGGTGCTTGGGAACGTGAATGTGACTCTACTCAGCAAGCAGGCTAAGTAATGCCCCTCTGCTGTCCATCTGTTTGCGGCCGCTTAAAGTAGAATTCCCTTTGCTCTTGGAGAGGCGGGTCGTCTTCTGCCGGCACGTGAGCGTGTCTGGCACTGACCCTTGCCAAGCTCTTCCCAATCCCAGCATCCGCAGAGACCCTCTTCCACCGGCAGGACCGATCGTCACGTTGACCCGTCCCAGGGCTGGGTTTAGGACACTCCCTCCCCTAGAGTTAACCTCTGACACCTGATCTTCTCTTGCATGTTCTTGCAACTGTCCTGCGTCTGGCAGGGGTCTTTAGGTCAAGCCTGGATGGGAGACCTACCAGGAAAACAGAGGCTTGTTAGTGGTTCAGTAGGTGGCGTTCTTCCCTCCCAGTTAGGGTTGGTGGGTTGGCGCTGCTCTGAGGGCAGGCGGAGCCTCTGGCAGCACAGTGCCCCCTAATGCCATGTTGGGGCATGATCCAAGACTTGCTCAACCAACAGCTCCAGCACCCTTCCCTACAGTCTCCTGTAGCTCATGGTCCAAGCTGGTACGGCTGCAGGGTCTCTCAGGTGTAGCCGTGGGAGATGGCCCTTGTCCGCCGATCGTTGCCTGAAGACTTTGGGTTTATTCTCTGCACACCATGACCCTTCGCTGTGCTTCCCTGCAGGTTTGCTTATAAAGATGAGTACGAGAAGTTCAAGCTCTACCTCACCATCATCCTGCTCATCATCTCCTTCTCCTGCAGGTTCCTTCTCAACTCCAGGTGAGTCTGTGGCAGCAGCAAGATGCTCACCAAGCCATGTGGGCAGCCTTACAAGAGAGACCATCTCCTGGGCTGAAACCAGGCTCTGCTAACAGTCTGCTTAGCTGAGATGCAGGGGATCTGCGCGGAAGGTGTCGGGTTGAGTAGCTTCTGACTTAGGCTACCATCCCCGAATGATGGGAACCAAACTGCAGACTGTTGCCTCTATAGGATCTAGGATCCTTCAAGGACTGTGGGGCTACAATAGGATTGCTGGAGGTAACATGATCTTGAGCAGAAACATTCCCCTGGTGGGCTGGAGATGGGATCCTGGATAATGGACCGGGCCAGTCACGTCTCACCAGCTTGGATCCGGTTTGCAGGTGTGCAGCGTCACTGCTGCTAGCCCACTGGGTTCTGATGTGGTTGAGGCTGGCCGGCCATGGGGAATGGTACCCACCTGGGTGAGCAGTCCAGGTGCTGAACAAGGCTCCTCCACAAGTTGCCACCCCGCAGTCGGGTGGGATTTTCCTGGTGCCTGTCCTGCAGTAAATTTCTATCTCATCGAAGGCGTGAGGAATGTAGCATCCAAGGGGCAGCATGGCTGGACTGGGCCAAAGGCTTATGGTCTGTAACTGGCTCGGGGATCCGGACTCTCCAAATAGTCGGTGACCCTTTTGTGCGCACACCCCCTGGCCGCTCGGTGTCACTGTAATAAGAAATATATGGAGATATGCCTATCTCATAGAACTGGAAGGGACCCTGAAAGGTCATCGAGTCCAGCCCGCTGCCTTCACTAGCAGGACCAAGTACTGATTTTGCCCCAGATCCCTCTAAGTGGCCCTCTCGAGGATTGAGCTCACAACCCTGGGTTTAGCAGGCCAATGCTCAAACCACTGAGCTATCCCTCCCGCCCCGTACCTGTCTCAGCATCTGGGTTTCTATACGAGAGGCTTCCATGCCTCTCCATGTGGCTGGAGCAGCTCCCCACTGAGACCGGAGCCGGTGACCCCTGCTGAAATAACCGCAGACTTGGAAATGCCCATCTGGGGGTGCGGTCAGACCCCTGGCTTGTCAAAAGCGTATTCCTTGCTTTCACGTCCTTCCCAAGGAGCTTGACCTTATGTGAGCATGTTAGGTTGCTTCACGGTTTAGGTTGTTTCAGTGCCACACTCTTACTTTCCCTGCCCGTGTTTCCACAGACTGGGCAGGCTTCGCCTGTCCTGTACCCCCCCACGCCGTGCCCCTAAAGGCTATCCCAGAGCTTGCCTCCCAGCAGCAGTGGGAATGCACCAGAGAGCTTGCGTTGTATCGCATCCCTCCCTCCCCCAGCGCCGGTGTGGCTGTTCCCAGCAGTCCCGTGGTAGCAGGAAGCTGCTTCGTGGGCCAGACCCTCAGCCCAACGTGGTTGCTCTGCACCTGGGCTGAAGGGGGAGCAGCGTTGCAGCTGAACGCTCCTGTAGGGGGACGTTCAGAGCCGCCCTGCAGCGAGGTCTGCCCGGTTCCTGGTGGAGCCGCAGAGGTTCCGCTCCGCTCCCCCTCTTCACCGTCCGCTTTGTGTGTGACAGGGTGACGGACGCCGTCTTTAACTTCCTGCTGGTCTGGTACTACTGCACCCTGACCATCCGCGAGTGCATCCTCATCACCAACGGGTCCAGGTGAGCAGGGCCACAGTCTCGCCCAGGCTGAGCCGACCGACCCCCACCTGCTGCACTAGCCTCTGCTCCCAGAGCCCCCCCAGTCGGGGTTGCCTCTGCTAACTGGGGGAACAGCTTGCTCAGTATTGTGACGCGCTCCCGGGGGAGGGTCGGCAGTGTCTGGGGAGGGGCCATGGGAGGAGAACCACTGATTACAGCAGTCCCTGCTTCGTGCCACGGTGCCAGCGCCCCCCCGGTGCCGGCTGAGGGTCTGCCCTGGCCCTGTTTTCTTTCCGCTCCTTGTCAGCAGGGGGAGCTACTGACCTGTCTTCCCCGGCTGGAGGGCCAGCCTGGCCTTCGCCTCCCTTGCGAGCCTCGCCCCACCTGTGTGGATGTCTAATTCTAGCTCCCTCTTCTCTGCTCCCCCAGAATCAAAGGCTGGTGGGTTTTCCATCACTACGTCTCTACCTTCCTCTCGGGCGTCATGCTGACTTGGTGAGTCTCCATCGCTGCCCGTCGCTGGGGATCCCGCATCATCCTGCTTTCCTGCCCTCTCCTCCCTGGCTCGCAGCTGGGTTGCGAGGATGTTAGAGGACAGACTTCACCTGGGTGGGCTCGTGCCAGCCTCCCCCTAAATTGGGTCCCTGGGGGCCTCAAAGGGAGTAGCCAGGGGATCTCTGACATCACCCGGGGCTGTGGGACGCTCGCAAATAAAACCCAGAGAGCAAGCTGATGCCAGTGGTGACACCCTGAGCCTCTCCCACCGTCTCTTCTCTCCCGCAGGCCGGACGGGCTCATGTACCAGATGTTCCGAAACCAGTTCCTCTCCTTCTCCATGTATCAGAGTGAGTGTCCCTGCGTGGGCGGGGAGCCAGCCTGGCTGCTGGGCTTTGGAAATCCAGCCGCAGGCTGGCAGCTGCGTCCCTCTCCTGTTAGCCTGTTTCAGCCGTGCCCTCTGGGTCCACAGCGCTTACAGGGGGGTTGGCAAGCTCCCCAGGCGCTATGAGACGGTTTCTCCTCCCTAGCGCTCTGCGAAGCTGCAGGCTCGGGAAGCGGTGACAGAGCGCCGGCCTGGCCTGCGTAGGGCACTGCGCCCGGAGCAAGGAGGCGGCTGGGAGGGCCTGGTGAGCGGGGAAGCGCCGCAGGCCAGTGGATTGCACGCTGGCAGTTGTGTAGGAATCTCCTCTCCTTGCAGGCTTTGTGCAGTTCCTCCAGTATTACTATCAGAGCGGGTGCCTGTACCGGCTGAGGGCGCTGGGCGAGAGGCACAACATGGATCTCACCGTGGGTAAGTTGCCTCCCGTGTCCCGCTGCAATCTACCACTCAGCTGGCTGGTGTAGCAGCAGAGACGACCAGCCCCCCACCCTGACTTCATGCCCGTGGGGCAGCTTGGCCCATCCCCAAACTCAGTGCAGACAGCCAGCCATCCGGGGGCCGGAGCAGCCCCGCTGCTCTCCCCGTGAAGCTGAGTTCGCTCGGGGCCGGTTGCACTGTCGGTGTTCCCCTCGCTGGCGTTACGGCCCGGCTTGGGCTGGGTTGTCCCATTAATGCCTACCTCACTTGGGGCCGCTGGGCATGGTTCTCTAGGGTACCTGGCTCGGTCGCTCTCTGGCTGGACTATACCTCCTACGGCGCACTGCTTCTCCCCTCTGAGCGCCAGGAGGGCACGCGTCAGAGGGGTTCCTGGCAGTGGTGCATCAGGGGAGATGTAGTCCGGCCAGAGGTCCCAGCCCGTAGAGGAGAAAGGGAGTGCAGAGCATCTGAACTACAACTCCCATGAGGCACTGGCACCAATTGAAGTGGGAAGTTTTTGGTTCCTTATAAAATTTTCTGCAATCACGTTTTCTTGTAGATAGAAACTTTTGACCAGCCCTCCCATTAACCCCCAGTGTGCCACACGCACCCCTCCTTGCTTTCCAGCCCTCTTCCCTGGCGCTCTAAGCTGCTGCTCACCCAATAAAGGCTGTCTCCTACAGCGGGCGGCCCTGCCTGGCCAGCCGCCTGGGAGCCAAAGCCTCTCTCGGCGCTGTGGGGTCCTGTTGTCCCCGATGTCTGCGTCCCTTGTGTGTCCAAGGCTAATCCAGCCCCGTACTCACAGCGGGATGGCACAGAGCCTCCCTGTTGCACTGTGTTCTAAGGCCCCCTTCGTATGTCCCGTCTCTGCAGAGGGCTTCCAGTCGTGGATGTGGAGGGGCCTCACTTTCTTGCTGCCATTCCTCTTCTTTGGCCAGGTGAGTCCGCAGCGGGCATCTCGGGGCCCGCGGGGGTTCAAATGGGTCTAGTGGTGCTCACTCACTCCTTGGAGACGGACGAGAGGGAGGGGGAGCAACCACCCAGGTGCCAGTGGAGGAGAGAGTCTCGGCCGCATTAGTGCGAGCAGAGTGCCTGGGGGGTGCGGGAAGCTGGACGGCCCCTCCTGATAGAGACGTGCATAAAACGAGGCTCCTTAAATACTTAAACCAGCCCCTGCTCTCGCCTCGTGAGTTGGGCTTTTCAGAGGCGGAGCTGCCCCCGGTCCCAGCGACATTCCCAGCAGCCGGGTGCCTCGGGCTGGGTATTTGGGCAGCAGGAGGCAAGGCCCATGGCGCTGGCCGGGGACACGTCCGTGCTGGGTTCGCTGGGGGGCATTTGACATGAGTCTCCATGAAAACTGTCCCTTAACCCCGCGTCTCCTTCAGTTCTGGCAGCTTTACAACGCGGTCACCCTCTTCCAGCTGGCCAGACATCCGCAGTGCAAGGAATGGCAGGTGAGCTCGGGCAAAGGGAGCCTGGAGTGGGGGGGTTGGAGCATGGAAATGAGATAACTGCTGCCCCCACCTCCCCCTCGCTGCCAGCCCTCGTCCTCCCAGCAGCAGCTTGAGTGCTTGGCTGAATGAGATGCCCAGCAAGAGGGAAAAGTGAGAGGGGGGGGGGGCAATTTCCTCTCCTCATTCGCTGCCTGCTGCCCACTTGGCTGGGGCACATGCACTTTGGGTCTGGTTGCCACTCTCAGTGGGTGTCAGAACAGGGGTGAAGGGCCCACCTGTGCCCTCACCACAAAGGCAGAGAGCAGTGGGGCTGGGAGCTCAGGTCTAGTCCCTCCCCCTGCGCTGAGGCAGGAATATGGGTCTGAGTCCAGCTGCTGGGAAGCGACACAGCTGGAGCAGCAGCAGTGGGACTGATGGGCTGTGGCCCCTCTTAGAGGCCTGGGAGATCCCAGCTCAATACAGCCTCTCGGACCCCTGCAGGTGGGTTAATTCTAGTGTCTCCCGTCAAACTCTCAGGTTCTCATGTGCGGGTTCCCCTTCTTGGTGCTCTTCGTGGGGAACTTCACCACCACCCTGCGGGTCGTCCAGCAGAAATTCCAGAACCAGAACCAAGACGCTAAGGCCGAGTGAGAAGAGGAGCTGATGCTGAGACCGGGGGGGGGCTCTCCACCGCCTCCCCCCCCCCCCCCCCCCCCCGCCTGTCTCCTAGCCACACTCCAGACTTTGCCATCCAACTCTCCTCCTCGCCCCTTGAACCTGTGCCCGTTCCTCAGGGGCAGGCCCACTGGGACTGTCCAGGGAACCTCGGGGGAATGTATGTGATCCAGTAAACCAAGCTGCTGAAGTCCGAGGCTCCCTCACCATCCCAGCCCCGGGACACGCTGCCTTTGGCTGGAGCCGCTATGGGCCTGCTGCGATGCAGGAGGATGGAAGCGATCTCCACAGAGGGTACCGTGGCCAGCCAGGCAGTCGTTATCCCATTCTACCCCCCAGGGCCTTCCCCTCCCTTTGCTCTAGAAGTGGGGTGTCTAGGGCAGCTACTCAGATGTTAATGTGACCCCTTTCTTGGGGGTCAGGCCAAAGCACTACCATGAACACCATCTAGCTCCAAGCAACCAGAGACCTGAAGTGCCCATGACAGCTGGTGGAGCCAAGCCTCTTCCCTGCACCCTGCAGTGGGGCCAGCCGGGCCTGAGGGGGAGGGAGCAGCCCCCAGCCCTGGGCTTATTCCAAGCTCCCCTCCCTGTGGACAGTGCTGCTGAGACACACGGGGCGAACAGCTCGGCACCTCCCGCTTAGGGAACCAGCCCCATTGCATGGAAACAGGCTCCTTGCTTATTATTGGCTGAGTCCCCAGTGGAAGCGCTCCAGCTGGGAGCACGGCTCTCCCAGCCCCCTCATGGGCCCGGAGTCCCAAGGCCGGGCTCTGGTGCAGATCTCCTTCTAGCGATGGGAAATGCATGCTTCAGACGTGTCCTGGCCTCTTTACTACAGTGGTCTGCACCCTGGGGCCGCTCCGCATCCTCTCTGCTCCAGCGGGATGCTTTAAGGGGACGCTGGAGCATGATCTGGGAACTGGGGCAGCCTAATGGCCCAGCCCCCCCACCCCCGCCATCAATTCATTGGGCAGCAGAAGCAGAGTGAGGGAAGAGGATGCCAAAAACCATAAAGGAAGCAGTGTGTGTAGCTGGTGCTAGAAAGTAGCATGGGGCCCTGAGCTGCCGAGGGCAGGTGGTCTGGCTGGAGCAGCTGTGCTTGCCTGGCTTGTGAGCTGCTGGGGGAAGTCTGAGCAGGTACCCAGCTTTGGTGCAGGGAAGATGGGTTGTGGAGGGGGCTGTCCTACCTGTATTAATGTCTGTGCCTCTTTGACAGGAAGCTCATCCAAAATAAAGGGAAGAAGGGGCAATCCCTTCCCATGACAGAGCCGTCTCTGATCCCAACCCCTCTTAATCCACTGGCGGGGTAGTTGATGTTTTGATGGAAGGAAGAGGGCTGGGAGGGGGCAGTCCATTCTTACTGCCTAGGGCCTGAGCTCTGCTGCTGAGGGATAACTTGGCAGGGGTAAGTGTGAGACTGGGCAAGGGGAAGACAGCCCCTGGCAGGGGAGGGCTGTGTGCAAAGCTAAATGCAGCAGCGAGGCTCTTAACTCTCAGGAGTGGTTTGTCCTCCCCTCTGCTAGCAGCAGGCAGGATAGTCCTGGCAGTGACAGGGAGGGCGCTGCACAGGCCTGAACTAGTACCTCTTGCTCTCCTGTCCTGGAAACAGGGCTGGCTCTGGTTTATCCCTTTTAGTGTAGACGTACCTGGCATCTGTGCAGCTTCCCTGCTAATGGTGTTCAAGCTAGCCCAGGTGTATCTGCACTTGGAGCAGTGCAGCAGTAACAGAACCTGCCTTGGTGCCAGTTCACATTTCCTTCTGACGGGGGAAGTGAGTATCAATCATACTGCTGAACACGGGACTGGCTGCAAGTCCACGGTTGTTTTCCATCAACTCTCCCCTGGACACCTGTTTAGAAAGCGAGCAGCACGCTGGGCCAGCCTGGGAATGAACAGAGGTGGGGCTGGCGGGAAGGAGAGAGGCCCAGTCTGCAAATGAGGTGAACAGCTGAGGGGAGAAACTCTGCCTCCGTTTGAGCTCTGGGGGGCTGGCTGTACTGCAAGCGGAGGTGTGACAGCCGGGTGTGGAGCCAGGCCTGAGCTGCACTTCAAGCCTGCCTAGGGCTGTACATGTGTGACTAGCCCAGGCTACTGAGGGTTCGTGGCTACTGGGAAATGAGGCCAGGTGGAGCCTGCATGCACAGCCCCCTTGGGAAGTGAGCTTTAAACACACAGGAGACAGGATGGGCTTCGGCTCCCTCCCCCCATCTCTCCAGCACAGGCAGAGGCTAAGTGACTTGCCCAAGATCTCAGAGGAAAGGCTGTGGCAAAGCAGGAACAGACGCATGGGCAGGTCACCTGTAAAGCTGTTCTCACCTTGTGCCCTTTCCCCTTGGCTTTGTGAAAGGAGGTGTGGGGGGGGGGGGGAAGGGGGAGGTGACACCCCAGGCAAGTGGAAGTTACTGGCTGGCTCTTGCCTCTTGGGTCGGTTTCTCACTGAAATGAAACAAGAGGCAACTGATCTCACGAGGCAAAATAAAGCCCCTGTTTTATTCCAAGGGGACAGTATATTTAAAATTATTTACATTCATGGGACAGGCGGAGAGCTTGTCCATGAGCAGGTCTCGAGCTGGGGTGAACAGGAAACCCAGATACCAAAACCGTGTGTGGAGAAGCAGCCAAGGGGGTTCAGTTCATGTGACTACCAAGCACACAGGGGCCCAGTCGTTCTCCCTGCTCCCCCGGGCTGATTGCAGCTGCACATTAGCGTCCCCTGCAGGCCAGTAGCTGGAATTACACACACACACACACACCCCCCGCCGCCTCTCCCAGGAGGCGGCTTCAGCCATCTCCTGTCCCCTGTGACTAAGGAAACAAGATTCAGTGGAGGCAAGTGTTGCAGTTAAGTCCCTGACCCACCCCAGCAGTGGCTACACATGAGACTCAAGGCCCAGGCCAAGGAAGCCGCCCTGGGAGCTGCCTTGCTAGTCCCTGGAGGTTAGTGATGGCCGGGAGCGAGCCATCCTCCCCCTGGGATGGTCTGTTGCTGGGCTGGGACATTACAGAGCAAGTCACCACTTTGCTGGGACTTGAGCATTAAGCCACTGGGCGTCAGCTCCCCACCACCACTAGCCAACTTACTGCGAGGCCCATAGGACAGAGCGGGGAGTGAGGCCAGGCCAGGGCTGGCCTGGGGAGAGCTTCGTGGCGGATCTGGTGGCAGATCAGAGCAGGCTCAGGTAGGAGTCACTGGCACAACTCTCGCTAGGCGCTAACGGGTTCAGAGAGCAGGTCTCCAGCCAGAGCAAAGCCCCACTCCAGAGACTCCACTCGCAGCAGGGCCAAGGACTGGGTAGGAGTTTACACCAGGGCAGGCTCTCAGCTGGCCAGGGCTGGTTGCAGGCCACAGGAGAATTTCTGGTGTGCAAGGCATGGGGGCCCTGGCCGTCGGGCAGAGCTGCAGGCTACCCTGTCACAGTGAGGGGGACGCACCCCAGCACCGTTGCTCAGGCTGAGTGCCACCAGGACAGGACCTGGTGCTGGAAGTCTCGTGGGGCAAGGGAGACACGGGGCTCTGCCAGTGGAGACTTTGATGCCCTGCGAGGGAGCGAGACAGTCTCTCCCATTTGCTGCCCTCAGCCCTGGGTCGCTTTCCAACCCAGCATGCTCCAGGCTGGAGCTGTTAAAGGTTGCCAGGGTCCAGGTCTGGACCACAGCTCTGCCTGGATCACCACCAGACCGTGCCTGAGCTGGGGTGCACTGGATTGTCCCCCAAAGAACGGGTTAAAAACTAAGGTAGCTCCCTGGGAGAGGAGGTGGCATGGGGGCTTATGCGACTAGCCTGAGAGGCGGGGGGGAAGGGTGGCCCCACCTCAGTTTCCACAGGAGCACAAGGGGGGGGGGGGGTCCTGCAGCTGGTTCGTTGCACAGACAGCAGAGCAGAGCGGGCAGCCCCGCCAGCGAACTGGCCTTGCCCTGCACTGCGGGGGGGAGGGGTCATCAAGCCCTGACTCCTGCTAGTTCCCAGGGCGAGCCCGGCCATCGCAGTGGAGACGTGTCTTCCCCCCAGAAAACCCAGGGGGATTCCAGCAGTTCCCGCCCCGCCCTTCGCAGGGCTCTCAAGAGCAGTCTAGCGGAGGGGGGAGGCGGGTACAGAGGGCGATTACCAGGTGAGGGGATCTAAGGTTTAGTTTAGTTTCAGTGGCACGTTCTTGCAATGGCTGGGGCAGGTCTAGCAGCCGTCTGGGAATCCTTCCTCTCCCCAGCCCGGGAGCCCGGCTTAGCTCCAGACGTCCAGGGAGTAGCGGCCCTTGGTCATCAGTTTCTTTACATAGTCCACGGCCTGGGGCTGGGTCATGCTCCCGAACTCGGCCACGATTTCGTAGAAGGTGTTCTGCACGTCCCGCGCCATGCTGCGAGCGTCGCTGGAATGACAAGGACGTGAGTGAGGGCGGGCGTTGTTCCTCCACCTCCCATGGGTCATAGCCCTGGGGGAAGGGGAGACTGCAGAGGCCAGGCTGGCCTAGCCAGCATCGGCCCCAGGTCTAAGGAGCTTGGCTAGTGAGGGATCAGAGGGACACTGAGCAGGTAAACTCCATGTTATGGAGCGTGGGCCACAATCCCCGGGGCCAGTGGCCTGCACTGTGTGTTAGCCTGGCACTCGCTAACCTTCACAGCACCCCTGCATTGCAAGGAGCTGCCCCAGCTCACAGCCTGGGAAATCAGCAGCGGGCAGGTGTCTTGCCAAAGGCTATTGGACAAGTCCATGGCAGAGCTGGGGGAGAACCAAGGAGTTCCTGGCTCCCAGGCCTGTGCTTAGACCAGGCAGCTGTTATTCCATCCCCGGCTGTGCTGGACGGAGGGGAGGTGTGAGAGCACATCACTCACCGAACCTGGCCCTGGCCCCTTTGCAGCCACCTCTCCTCCCCCCCTGGAGCCCAAATGGCCCCTCCTCCTGCCCCAGGCATTTCCCACGATACTCTGATTGCACTGTGGGCACTGACTGAGCCGGCAGCCCTCAGCCCAGGGAGCTGCTGGTTCTACCTCCCCCCATTAGCTCAGCAAGGCCCTTCTCCGCGGACGCTCTGCAATGGCTCTATTCCCAGCCTCTCTCTGCTGGGCCCTGAGAGACGCAGTTGTGCTAGGAGCTGTACGTACAGAGAGACAGCCTGCCCCAACGGGTTCGTCGGCTACAGAGACACAGGGCGGGAGGGGAAGCTGGGGACCAAACCCAGGGCTCCCACGTCCGCGCCCATAGCAAGGCCTCGAGCCTGCCACCTGCTGGCAGACCCTCCCTCCCGTACGCTGCCCCAGGGACTGTGGCCGGGAGCGGAGCCTAGCACAGGACAGTGACGGGGATGGCTCCACCGCCTTTGAGGTGCCAGCCCCCACGTGTGAGAGTCGAGAGCTTTGCTCCTTCCCTTTCACACACACGGGAGTGTCACCGAACCCAATGGATGGTTTAAGTGAATCCAGCCACATGGTGCAACCCTTAAAGTAACTCAAGGTGCAAGCTCCTTGTAAAGCCACATGCCAGCCCCCTCGACAATAGGGGCCAGCAATGGGAAACGCCGGGTTATCCCACAGTCCAGCCAAGGGCCCCGATGCAATTCAGCCCGCGAGGACCCCGGGGCTGGCCTTACCCGCACACGTAGATGTGAGCGTTCCCCTCGTGGATCAGCTTCCAGACCCCCTCTTTGTTCTTCTTCAGCAAGTGCTGAACGTAGACCTGGCAGAACAAAGGCAGCTGGGTTTAGAAACGCGGGGAAGGGAGCAACGTGGATTCCATGCGCCGAGCTGGCCGCTTCATCCCAGAGCTGCTGCATGTCCCTCCGGGAGGGAACCAAAGCTGCTCAGGGGACGTCAGTGGGCCTGACCCTCTCCGGCAACAGCCTGGGGGGGAGGGGAGGGACATTAGGGCAGGCTCTCAAGCCAAGCCGGAGTGCAGACTGGCACTCCCCATTCACGCCCAGCCAGGTGCACTCTGCAGGGCATGGAGCCGCCTTGCTCTGAAGCACGTGGGCAGGCCGATGCTGCCAGGACGCGGTTGGAGCAGTAGCCTGGGCTGGGGCTGGCAGCTCCCAGGGCCTCTCCTCCTGCAGCACCCACCCGCCTGGAAGAGTCCAGCCGCCCGCACATGGGCTGGAGGGAGGGACTGGAGCCTCTTTGCTGGGCTTTACCTTCTGGGCTTGGTCCCTGGAGAAGGCGACGTTGAGCTGGGTGAGGGCTCCCTCCTTGTGGAACTGGGCGAGCTCCTCTCGGTACAGGTAGTCCTCGTTCTCATGGCGACAGCCGTAGTACAGCACCGTCTCGCCAACGTCCTTCCCTGGG